TAATATAATAACATCCTAGATTGAGGGTCTTGGAAATTGAAACTTTGATTATACTTAGTATAGTTGTCATTGTACTTGTCAAATGTTTCCAAGTACTGACCTCCCCTTCACGGGGGAGGCCACCTCACAGTTTCAGGTAGAACTTGAAGGGTGCTACCATCACCGTTGCCTCGGGCGGATTATCAAGGAGAGGAGACGTGGTTCGTGCTTCCTCCGTTTCTGTTTTAAAACATTCAAATTAATGCTCATGGATACTATTTTCCGAATAATTATTTAGGGCTTGCACGCCCGTGTTTGCCACGTGTGGCTCGAATGCTTGTATTAATATTTCCGCTGCTTAATTAAATGATTTACATTGTGATTGTTTATGGATGTACTAATGTGAATGGTATTCAAGACGCCTTGTATAGTATGGATGAGTTGGACTGCGGTTGACTATTCGTACTGTACGGCGGGTTGTTGACGTGTCCGGGAAGGTCCGGGGCGTGACAATTTAATTGGTATCAGAGCCTTAGTCCGTAAACTTCATAATGAAGCTTCAAAATCCCTTTTGAAAATGATTTTGAAAACCATGAGCATAAAAGTTTTGCACTTATAGAACTTTTGGTACTTGAGTTGCAAAGTCTCTAATTGTTAAGATGGTACCCTTAACAATTGGTATGACGGTGATTTGAGCCAAAGGATGTCTTTAAGTGCCTATCCGTCACTTGACTTTTGATACGGGTCTAATGACTCATTCTCTATCTCTTTCAGAAATGGAACGCACCGGTAAAGTCACCCGACGAAACCCGACTGGCCAGGCGCCGGGAAGGTCCCAACATGGCAGTCGAGGGGCATCAAGGGTGTCTCGAGGGCAGGGCCGTGCAGGCCACTCGCTGACCGTTAGTGACGGTCATGTTGAAACAATTGACGAGCATTATGAGTCCGAGGAGGATTCAACGTACCGACCGGGAACGGAGCCGGTTGAAACCCCATATGAGGGGGAAGATGATGACATTAGTGAGGGGAGCGACGATAATGACGCCCTCGAGCGGATTGAGGAATTGCTTCGGCAATACCAACAAGATCGCCAAAGGCGCCGGGCAAGGCGTGCTTCGGGAGGGGCTTCGAGAAGAGGGAGCCGTGTTAGCTCTAGGGAACATGAGGAGTCCCGAGGAGGAAGAGGTGCCGAGGTTCCCATCATAAGAATCTCGAAATACCTCAAAGAGGCGAGAGAGTTGGGATGCAAACCATTCGATGGAATGGGAGACATCTCCGTGGCAGCCGAATGGATCAAAAGATTCAATGAAGCGGCCCTTGATATGCAGCTGCCACCCCATATGAAGATGAGAGTGGCAACAAGATTGCTAGAAGGAATGGCGTCCACATGGTGGGACAGTGTCAAGGGGAAGTATGGTGAGGCAGTCACTTGGGAGAACTTCAGGCAAGAATTCTTTAGCCAATACTACTCCGACTTCGAGGTGAACTTGAAGAGGAGGGAGTATACGAATTTGACCCAAGGAGGGGAATGCACGGTGAAGGAACTTGAGCACAAATTCAGAAAGCTTGCCGAGTTCATACCGGAGTACATTTGTGATGAAAATCGGATGGTGAACCATTTCTGGGATGCCTTGGACCTTGACATACGTGAGAGGGCAACACAATTGCCTAATATGACATTTAGTCAAGTCGTGGAACAAGGGTTGAAAGGAGAGAAGGAGTGGGAAGAGAGGAAGCGAAGAAATGCCGAGGAGGCAAAGAAAAGAAAATGGGAGAACCATGGCCCCCAGGGTTCAAACAAGAAGGGGAATCACGGGGGAGGAGGATCCTTCAGGGCACCCGCACCACCATCAAGGGGGAATCCCAACATGGGTGGGCAAAACTCGGGGTCACAAGCCCCGACGAAGCCTAAGTGCAGGAATTGCAAGAGAAATCACGAGGGCAAATGTCGTGATCCCCCACGGTGCTACCAATGCGGAGATACGGGGCACATAAAGCCCAATTGCCCTCAACTTGGTGGGAACCGGTCATCAGGGCCAAGCAGTGCAACCATGGTGAGTAGAAACCGGGGTGGGGCACCAAACGCAAGCGCGAACCACGGCGGGGCAAGTACAAGCAACGCACCCTCCGTGAACCAAGGAAGGACTCAAGCGAGAGTGTACGCAATGACCGAGGCCGATGCTCGGGCTAATCCCGACTCCGTTGCAGGTAATACACTTATTCTGGTCATTTCTAGGCTTACTTTGATAATATGCGTCGTTGGGATTGAGTGCGGGCCACCCCGGGGTCAAACCGGGCAAGTTAGGCCAAATCGGCTGGGAAACAGCCACTGCTGGCCAGGCACGGCCGCAGGCACGCCGTGCGTGGCACCGTGCCTGGAAGGCAGTGGCGCGCCGAAGAAGATTTGGCCAGGCACGGCCACAGGCACGCCGTGCGTGGCACCGTGCCTGGAAGGCAGTGGCGCGCCGAAGAAGGTTTGGCCAGGCACGCCGTGCGTGGTACCGTGCTTGGAAGGCAGTGTCGCCCCGAAGAAAATTGGGCCAGGCACGGCCACAGGCACGCCGTGCGTGGCACCGTGACTAGAAGGCAGTATCGCCCGAAGAAAATTTGGCCAGGCACGGCCGCAGGCACGCCGTGCCTGGCACCGTGCCTGGGAGGCAGTGGTGAGCAGGAAGAATCCGAGGCACGCACGGCCGTGCGTGCCACCCAGGCACGCCGTGCGTGGGCCCCAGAACCCGAAAATCGAAATTTTTCGCTCCGTTCTTTTACGTTTGGACCCCCGATTGATTCCAAACCTTAGTATTTACTTAATAACCTCCTAAGATGTGTAAAAACATTAGAAAATGTATCTCACATGGTGTATAAATGTAGGAACATTAAAGATTAATGGGAGATGTGCGAGAATCCTCATCGATACTGGGGCACAACGATCATTTGTGAGTGAGGCATTCGCCGGGGGATTTAACGTACCCCTGATACCGATGGCTCAAGTCCTATTGGTATCCACACCCCTAGGGGAAGACATCGAGAGAGATAGCCACTATCCATCATGTGAGGTGGAAGTGGAGGGCCAAAACTTGTCGTGTGATTTCGTGCCGCTGAGTATGATTGAGTTCGATGCAATCCTGGGTATGGATTGGCTTGAGAAGCATCATGCTAGGGTCGATTGTTACACGAAAGTACTTGAACTCGAAGGCAATGAAGGGATAACCTTACGCTTCGAGGGGGATAGGGCAAAATCCAATAGTTGTATCATATCCGCTGTGAGGGCTAAGAATATGATGAGGAAGGGGTGTCATGCATATCTAGCGTATGTGGTGGACAAAACCAAAGAAGAGACGAGCATTGATGATGTTAGGGTAGTATGCAAGTATCCGGACGTCTTTCCTAAAGACTTACCGGGACTTCCACCCGATAGGGAGATTGAGTTCGTGATCGAGGTCGAGCCCGGCACCAAACCAATCTCCATACCGCCATACCGTATGGCACCCGCTGAACTTAACGAGTTAAAAACCCAATTGCAAGAGCTTTTGGATAACGGTTTCATCAGACCAAGCCACTCCCCATGGGGAGCACCGGTCCTTTTTGTGAAAAAGAAGGATGGAACACTTCGAATGTGCATTGACTATCGTCAACTGAACAAGGTCACAATCAAGAATAGGTATCCCTTGCCTAGGATTGATGACTTGTTTGATCAACTACGAGGAGCAACCGTGTTTTCAAAGATTGACTTGAGGTCGGGGTACCATCAATTGAAGATTAAGGAGGATGACATACCGAAGAGCGCTTTCCGCACGAGGTATGGGCATTTTGAGTTCCTTGTTATGTCGTTTGGGTTAACAAATGCCCCGGCGGCATTCATGGACTTGATGAACCGAGTATTTCACAAATACTTGGACCGATTCGTGATTGTGTTCATTGATGACATCTTGATCTACTCAAAGAGTGAGGAAGAGCATGAGGAGCACTTGATACTCATTCTTGAGACACTACGGGAGAAGCAACTCTATGCCAAATTTTCTAAATGTGAATTTTGGCTTAAGGAGATTGGCTTTCTCGGGCACGTGGTTTCGGGATCGGGAATTGCTGTCGACAACAAGAAGATAGAAGCCATCACCGAATGGGAGAGGCCAAAGAACGTCAAGGAAATTCGTAGTTTCCTTGGATTGGCAGGATACTATAGAAAGTTCGTGGAAAAGTTCTCTGTTTTGGCATCACCGCTGACAAAGCTCACTCGAAAAGGAGCTAAGTTTGTATGGGATGACAAGTGTGAGAAAGGATTCACTGAACTGAAGAAGAGATTGACCGAGGCACCGGTACTTGCATTACCCAAACAGGGTATGGGGTACGATGTCTATAGTGACGCGAGCATCCAAGGGCTTGGATGTGTGTTAATGCAGGAGGGGAGGGTAATTGCCTATGCTTCACGACAGTTGAAGAAGCATGAGGTAAATTACCCCACCCATGATCTAGAGTTGGGAGCAGTGGTGTTCGCACTGAAGATTTGGAGACATTATCTCTACGGAGAGACATGTCACATATACACTGACCATAAGAGCTTGAAGTACGTGTTTACTCAGAAAGAGTTAAACATGAGGCAGAGACGGTGGATGGAGTTGATAAAGGACTACCACCTAGTGATTGAGTACCATCCAGGCAAGGCAAATGTAGTGGCAGATGCTTTGAGCCGGAAGAGCTCAACTGGGGCATTGATAGCTAATTTGAGGGCATTAAGAGCCCAACTGGAGGTGTCCAGTAATGGTGCCTTATTGGCACGGTTTGAGGTGAGACCTACCTTGCTTGATGAGATCAAGAAGGGTCAGGAAACTGACGATGAAATTGTGAAGATCAGGGAACGCTTGCAAGCGGGACCGGTGGAGGACTTCAGAGAAAGAGACGATGGTCTTTTATTATTTCGTGACCGAGTGTGTGTGCCGGCGGATGATGAGCTCCGAAAGTCCATCTTAGAGGAAGCTCATTCATCGGCTTATGCCATGCACCCGGGGGGCACGAAGATGTATCGCGATTTGAAAGAAAGTTACTGGTGGTCCGGTATGAAGAGAGAGATAGCCGAGTACATCAGTCGGTGCCTTACTTGTCAGCAAGTCAAGGCAGAGCATCAGCATCCAGCTGGGTTATTACAGCCACTTTCCATTCCAGAATGGAAGTGGGAGCATGTGACTATGGATTTCGTGGTGGGGTTGCCACGGACCGTGAACAACTATGATGCGGTATGGGTAGTAGTTGATAGGCTCACCAAGAGTGCTCACTTTTTGCCTATTAACATCACTTACCCTCTTGAAAGATTGGCGAAGCTATACACGGAGGAGATTGTGAGACTACATGGAGTCCCGATATCCATTGTCTCGGATAGGGATCCACGTTTCACATCTCGATTTTGGCCCAAGTTTCAAGCATCTTTGGGTACTAAATTGAAGTTTAGCACGGCTTTTCATCCACAGACTGATGGACAATCCGAGCGAGTGATACAGATATTGGAGGACATGCTTAGGGCGTGTGCTCTGGAGTTCCAAGGAAGTTGGGACAAACATTTGGCTCTAGTCGAGTTCGCCTATAACAACAGTTATCAGGCGAGTATTGGCATGCCTCCATACGAGGCATTGTATGGGAGGAAGTGCAGGACACCGTTATGTTGGGACGAGGTCGGCGAGGCCAAGCTCGAGGGGATTGAACTTGTTGAAATCACCAAGACTAAAGTGAAAGTCATTCAGGATAGACTCAAGACTGCCCAGGATCGGCAGAAGAGCTATGCCGACAAACGACGCAGGCCATTGGAGTTCGAGGTCGGTGATAAGGTCTTCCTAAGAATTTCTCCTTGGAAGGGTATCATCCGATTTATATCGAGGGGAAAACTCAACCCCCGATACATCGGTCCGTTTGAAATCCTTGAAAGGATTGGGGCGGTGGCTTACCGTCTCAAGCTGACGCCGGAACTTGAGAAGATACACGACGTGTTTCATGTATCGATGCTCAAGAAATACGTGAGAGATCCATCTCATATTCTTGAGAAGCCACCGGTGGAGATACGTGAAGATCTACAATATGCAGTGGAACCGGTAAAGGTTGTGGGTCAACAGGTGAAGAAATTGAGGAACAAGGAGATTCCTATGGTAAAAGTCCTTTGGAGGAGTGATCGGGTCGAGGAAGAAACATGGGAGACTGAGGTCTCAATGAGAGAGCAATACCCTTTTCTCTTCGATTAGACACGTGGATTTCGGGGACGAAATCCCAAATAAGGGGGGGTGAACTTGTAACACCGTCCCCAAATGTATTTACTTTTAAAGTGAATATTGTATTTTAACCTTATGGAATGGTTGACGGATTTACGAGGTTATGAATTTTTATTAATTTTTGCGTGAATAGTAAGTTCGCGCGTGGGGCCCGCACCGGGAGCGGGGGCCGCCCGATATTCCCGGGACCACGTAAATTATTCATCTTGGTCTAGATAATATTTATATGGGGGTGGATAATTCTTTTGAATCAGGGAAAGGTCTTGAGTTGACCGATTGGTCAAAAGAGGCCCAAATACCGGTATTGACAATCTAACCGATAAAAGCCCGAAATTGGATTTCGGAGACCTATAAATTTAAGTTGGGAAATGTATATTCATTTTAAGGGTCATAATGATTGGGAACATGTAATATATCTTATTTGACCCGATAAAATAAAATATATTTAAAACTGTCCGAAAAATACAACTTTCGGGACAAAGTGTACACTTCTGGACAAAAGGGGTTGACCTCCCACATGGGTGGGGGCCAACCCACGAATTTAGCCACACAAATTGAGGCATGGGGCTGCTGAATGGAGAGGAGGAAGATGGGTAGAAGTTGGGTTGACTTGAGAGGCATCTAAAGGACAAAGGTGGGTCTCTCAACCCACACATAATTGCCTATTGAGACAAAAAGCCAACCCCAACCCCTCTCTCCCCTATTCTCGGCCAGCACCAACCCCAGCAAGGGAAGAAAAGATCTCCATCCTCCTCTCCCCATCCTTGAAGAGAGCTCAAACAATAGAGGTCCAAGAGGGAAGATTTAAGAGAGAAAAAGCTAGGAAAAGTGAGAAAGATTAAGGTAATGACCTTATATTAACTTTTCCTTTATTTTTCTTCTATCATTTGAGATATATATCATGTGAAGAACATTGAGGGTTGTCCCACATGAGTTAGTGTAGAATGATGGGTTGGAAGGGGGTTCTAAGTCCAAAAACGGACCTAGGAGCCAAACCGACAAGTTCACCGGAAAATAACCTTTTAGAGGTTATTCGTATTGATTAAGGTTTTATGATGTTAAAACCTTGTTAGGAACTTGATTAAAGTACTTTGGAGCTTCGCCGGAGTTTCGCCGGAGTTGGTCAAAGTTGGCCGGAGTTGGTCAAAGTTCACCGGAAATAGTCAAAGTTCAACCGCGGAGCGTAGAACACGCTTAAGCTCACTTAAGGTGAGGATGACCGACTATATTGCTTATAATTATTGGGTTAATTTCATAAGATTACCTAAATGAACTATATGTGTTTGGCATGATTTATTTATAATATAAAAAAAAAATGCCTAAATGAGATTATTATTGTTTATAAGTAAAAGTGCATAATATACAAATTTATGATTAAATTGGGTATGATTATGTATTATGAATACAATGGTATAATAGCGTGTAAACTATAAATGAATTGTGATAAATATACTTTTACCTCATGTAAGGAAGTCATGGAAGGATAAAAGTGATATTTTGATATTAGAACCAAGTTATACTTGAATGTGGAATTAAATTGAAATAGCCAAATTACTATGAAATTGCATTGGCTTATTAAGGTTAAATGACTAGTATAGAAATACTAGCCGGGGATGTTAGCATGAAAAGTGATAGAACAAATCCTAGGGGTTTGGATTGTGAAAGATGTACCTTAAGTAGTCATATGAAATGTCTTAAGGTAGAAATGAGTAAACGCTAAGTTACCGTAGGAGTGGATCTTGAAGGTTACTCATAGTAGAGGAACTCTAGGCATAGAGATTGCTTAGTGAATTAGTATCGTGACTAGAGGAAGCCTCGAGCACGATGAAGAATGACTGGAGGAAGCCTCCAGCATTCGTGTAGGACGACTAGAGGAAGCCTCTAGCGTAACGTAATGTGACTGGAGGAAGCCTCCAGCACAACGTATGTAAGGTGATTAGAGGAAGCCTCTAACACCAAGTGGAGTGACTAGAGTCAGCCTCTAGCACGACAAAACATGACTAGAGAAAGCCTCTAGCATGGTAAACTAATATAGATGGGTGTGGCTTGAAGTCACGGGGAAAGGGTTAAATGTTTCCAAAGTAAACATGGGCCTTCGGGCGATTACTTGACTATATATATAAAGTAAGTATACTTTCAAAAGAGGGTAACCACGGGTTATGACCTATAATATAATAACATCCTAGATTGAGGGTCTTGGAAATTGAAACTTTGATTATACTTAGTATAGTTGTCATTGTACTTGTCAAATGTTTCCAAGTACTGACCTCCCCTTCACGGGGGAGGCCACCTCACAGTTTCAGGTAGAACTTGAAGGGTGCTACCATCACCGTTGCCTCGGGCGGATTATCAAGGAGAGGAGACGTGGTTCGTGCTTCCTCCGTTTCTGTTTTAAAACATTCAAATTAATGCTCATGGATACTATTTTCCGAATAATTATTTAGGGCTTGCACGCCCGTGTTTGCCACGTGTGGCTCGAATGCTTGTATTAATATTTCCGCTGCTTAATTAAATGATTTACATTGTGATTGTTTATGGATGTACTAATGTGAATGGTATTCAAGACGCCTTGTATAGTATGGATGAGTTGGACTGCGGTTGACTATTCGTACTGTACGGCGGGTTGTTGACGTGTCCGGGAAGGTCCGGGGCGTGACAACCCTCCCCCCTCACTCCAAACCACCTCAAATGGCCCAAAATACCCAGTCCAACCCAAAAACTTAAAAAAAAAATCAAAAAAAAAAAAGAAAAAATAAATAAATTGGCCCGGACCGGGCCCGAACCGGCCGGGCCGATTCACCTATTGAGGGGCCCGAGCCCGGCCCGGAACCCCAGTAGGTCGGGCCTACCCGGACCGGTCCCTGATCGGGCCGGCGGTTCGGGCCGGTACCGGGGCGGGCCGCCCGGCCCGAGTCCACCCCTATTCCGGCCTATAACCCACAGAATAGAGGCCAAATATGGCTCAAAAGTCGAAAGACATTTGTAAGTAGTCATGGACCCGGGCCGGGCCGGTTCCGGTTCCGGGCCGGGCCCGGCCGGGCTTTTTTTTGGGAAGGAAGGCCCGGGACCGGCCCGGGTAGCCACCGGGTCCGGTCCGGGTCCGGGCCGGGCCGGGCCGGGCCGGGCCGGGCCGGGCCTCCGGTTCGGTTATAATTTTTTTTTTTTTGCTTTCCTAACCCCCCCACTCACCCCCACACCCCCCCCCCCCCAAACCCCCAAACCCCTCCTAACCATCAAGCCCAACTTGGCTAACCCCAAAAAAAGAAAAAAAAATTAAAAAAAAATCATTTCGGCCCGGGCCCGGGCTCGGGCCCGACCCAGCCGGGCCGGTTCGCCAAATACAAGGCCCGAGCCCGGACCCGCCCGACCCGGACCCGAGAACCGGGCCGGTTCCGGGCTCGCACAGTGGCGGGCCGGGCCGGTCCCGGGCCGGGCGGCCCGAACTGGGTCCATGCCTATTTGTAAGACCCTAGAAGAAAATACATGGCACAAAAGTAGTCCCAATGAATTATGAGCCTGTTTGGTAGCAAGAAAATTGGCTGATTTGTCTGATTCTACTGAAATTTATGAAGTTCTGACTGAAATGGCTGCATTGGTTGATTCTGCTGATTCAAGAAAAAATAATTTTTAAAATATATTTTGTTAATAAAATAATGAAAATATTATGTGTAAAAATAGCTTAAATGATCATCTACAACAACTTCAACCAATACAGCCAGAAAAGTAACCCCAACCTTACTTTTTCTGCTTATTACACAATTCAGCACGTGAAAGCAAAAGTTACGTGTTTGGTAAAAAAGTTGGCTGATAAGCCGAAAAAATGTGTTGCCAAACGGCCTCTATGTAATATTTGGATATGTTACTCATATATTAGCATCCCAGCATTCTAGAGGGAATATTGACAACTAGTAACAAATACACAAGTGGGAAACAGATAAGATTACAGACAATCCGTAGAAGACCTCTAAGGAGCTAAATAAAAACTAAAGCATCATGAAAGCTCCTTGTGTTCGAGTGCAGCGATTTCTTTCACAACCTGAGCTTTGTCTGCCTCGAACTGCTCATCCTCTGCAACATTTAAAATGAAACAAGATATTGTGTGTGGCTAAACGTTCATTCTTGTACAAGGCCATGTATATTTTACATATATACCTTTCTCAGTCTTGAAATCAGCAAAGAGGCGTAAAAGCTTGCTTCTATTTGCGACAAGGATGTTGACTATATCTGAAGGCTTGTGTTGATTGGCAGCAAATAGCTTCAGGAGTTTGACATGTGCCGATTAGAGACAGTTCTAAGTTTACCCCCCCGAGCCCCCCCAAATGCGTTTCTCTTGTCTAAAATCAGAATGCATACCTTAAAAACATGAAATGCTTCAATCTGAATGCTTTTGCTCGACTCCTACAAAGTTGGGGTTGACAGATATGGAGTGTATGAGACCAGCAATACCAATAGACTAATTAATCTAGAAAGACATATTCCTTCGAAATAAAATATTGAATACAAAGAAGATAAAAGGAACCAATGATGTATCGTTTGAAAAGACCTAACTCCTCGGATGTTATATTCTCATGGGAAGATGATGTATCATAATGCACCACCAAACAAGAATTCTATGAAAGGATTTGATGGGTGGAAGAATGAATGAAAATGGGGCAATAAAAACAAAGGCAACACATTACCCTGAGAAGATTCATCAGAATCCTCAAGTTATCTCGTGAGCTAACATAACGTGTCATCACAGCAGAATTTGATCGGTCCAGAAGCATATCCCCCAGAAGCTGCAAAAAGTAGACACCTCATATATAACTATTAATCCCAAATCTGAAAACTCATAACTATTCTAAGTTTCTATAAAAATATAGGAAAAAGGGGCAGAATAAAGATGAAAATTGGCAGAAAAGAGCTACAATCACTTCAAATGAATGCACAAAATTTACACTTGATAACATGTCTTATTTCTGATTGGTTGAGCAATAATAAACATGGGGTTAGATGTTATGACTCAGGTTGAGAGAAGCAGCTTAAGACAACAAAGGATAAAAGCATCGGGGAGATTAAAAATTCATTTTATGTGTTCAAGAATTCCAGCAAACTGTTTCAAATGGGCCAGATTTTCTACTACATGAATCCAAAAGAAGTAATGGAAAGCCAACAGCCTTACTTTATGGCTCTTTGCTACAAGATTTTGTCTAAAAAACTTTGTAAGGTATCATTTTCAAGTTGATAAACACCAGTGATAATGCACAACAACAACAACAACAATATCCCAGCCTTGGTCCCAAAAGCGTACGAATGTTGACATGAATCGGTATATGAAATTGGAGTTAACAGTGATAAGGCACAATGTTGACAAAAACTATGAAACCTTTCACAATGATCAAATGCCGACTATATGCCGACTATTCATACGAATCATACTATTATACACTGGAAACGTTTATTTTGACCAGGAATAGCACAGAGATGTAAAGAATAGATATTATAAGTAACTTAATGGACATGATTTGGTAATATTTTTGTTTTGCAAAAGCATGGGAAATGCTAGAACAACTCTTTTTATACTATGTAGTTCTGTAGGTTGGATGATAGGAAGCATTTTTCATTGGGAAATACATAGCGAATGATCTTATCTTGGGCTTGTAACGGCTGCACCAACATGTGCGAGGCTTGCACCATCTTGGTGCTTTGAATAAAATTTACAACTTAGCAAAGAGAACATTCTCAAGAGAGTAGGCAAAGTATAAAGATTATTGCTTACCTTAATTGCTTGCCTTCTGGTGATGTAATTGGGAGACTCAAGCAGCTGTGAGTTATAGTCAGCAAAAAACTAGAACCGAGGACATGCATGGAGCACAGAAACCAGTATCAAGCAGTTATTATATGAATATGAATATGTTGGCAATTTCGTTTAATCAAGAAAGTAGCAGGTATAATGAGACCCCTCCGGGTACTACACTCTAGTGTACAATAGTTACATGTATAAAGAGGAAAAAACACTCACCCAGTCATAATTCTTAGAAAGAAAATCAGCTACAGTTGATTTATGTCTTGTCAAGAGTTCCTGTTTTGAAAATTTTAGTCAGTTAAACAGACACTGCAGAAAGTAGAGGCATCAATGGTCTTGGCAGACACCAGCCATGACAGACTTAAATAAACCAACCATTTAAGCATTGAACAAAAAGCACACACAAACACTAGCTATCTATCAAAGCATCAAACTGAATCTGTTCTTTATTACTGCTGCTTAGTAATTTCATCAACATCATTATTTTCAGTCCAAATGACAGAGACCAACACCAGTGCACACTCACTTATGAGCACACATAGACACATATACATATAGAGAGTGAGGTGGGTGAGGGCAGAGCATCAAAGTCCATATGATATTTTCCCAATGCTATAAATTACATGACTTTAGTCAAAAGTATTAAACCTTAAAAGTTGCAGCAGCATCAGCAGCAAGGTCAAAATTTGGTAGTTGTATGTAGGTGAAAAACCTCTTCATATGTTCTGAACTCAGGACATACCTGAAAAGCAGAAGAATTTTTTTGAGAAGTTCAAATTATTGCATTTTCCGTAACAAAACTAGAACAAAAAAATGAAAACTGAGACGCATAAAAAAAGACACCCCAGTTGCTTACCTAGCAACACTTTGGTGTCGAATGCATTCCCTCAGCATAGCACCATAATGCAATGCAATATCTGGTTTCTCGTAACTGATAACACAATAATTTCATTCTTGTTTCCATTAGACAACCAAAAGATGTATGCAACAGAAAAGGTCAGGAAACATAAATTTCTGAATATCAATTGCAGGGTGCTAAATACGAGTGGCAAAAACACTTTAAATTCGTCTGTCTTACAAGTGTAGAATTTTTCTCATAATACAAATTAAAATTCATAGGTTACAAAATGTTTAAACAAGGAGCACTGGCGTGCTTGAGGTAAATCCTAACTGTCATGGATAAACTTTAGCATATTTTAAACTGCACAGACTAAAAGTTGAATATGCCTCCTGATCAAGGTTATGAACTTATGTAAGTAAATGTGCAGTAATCCCTCTGTCCCATTATCTTTGTCTCATCTTTCCTTTTAGGCCATCCCAACATGTTTGTCTCATACCATATCTGGCCATATTTTGTGACTCAATATCATTCTTGCCTTTTCAAATTGAATACAACCCCACAAACTCACTTGTCCATAATATTTGTGTCAAACTCCATGTCCCAAACTTAATGGGATGGAGATAGTAATATATGATGGAGGCAAGGAAACAACCTTTTGGTGCATCCCAGGTACTTGATAGATCTAGAGTTTACTCAAGTAGGAAAATTAATCAATATTCTCAAGAAAGTAGAAAATGAGAAACAAAAAACTTGGTCACACATCAGTTGTAGGCTTGTAGAATGACTCATTTTTCTTTCAAATAAAGAAAGCTATATGCCTATATTAGACATTAATCCTCAGAGATGTGCATCATAGAAACATAAACAAAGATTCGAAAAGCGTGGAGAAGTATATCACTGT